AATAATATTGATTGGATCTGATCTAATCTAATTGGATCTGATCTGATTGGATCTAATCTTATTGAATATTATATTATGTGGTCTGATCTGATCTGGTTTTAATAAAATAAGTAACAAACAGAAAAAATATGTTGAACGGAATGCAACCTAATTCATTACATTTTTTCAGAAACGTCATTACATAAGTTGTGAAAACGGTGCTACAATATTTTCTCCGAAAAGTTACTATACCACGAGTGTAATTTTTTTAACAATTCGGCATAACTTTGTTTGGAGAGAATTAGGGGTGGGCGTGAAATCCGTTCCCGTGAGACCATTCTGAAAAATCCCGGATCCGTTTTGTAACTGTACCGATATATTGGGACACATTTTTTTGTCCCGAACCCGTTCCGTCCCACTATCAAATGGGACAGCTTAAATTTATACCGATCCGTCCCGTTTCATATACTCTACTAATATATATACTAATTCTAGTCCAAAATCCAAATACACTCATTCTTAAATTAATTAGGTATTTAATTAAATTAACTTCATGAGATTGAAATTTATTTATAGAAATCATCCTAAATAGGATTAAAACATAGAGAAAAGTACCAAAATAGGACTTTCATGTTTTCTTCCCAGAATAGGACTTTGCACTGTGGTAATGTGACTTTGCATTGTGGTAATGTGGCAGTGTACATGTGCAGATTACTATATTTTTTTGGTAATGTATATGACCATGTTTGGTAATGTAAGTCCTATTTCGGGAATAAAAACATGGAAGTCCTATTCTGGTATGTTTTCAATGTTTTAGTCCTACTTTGGTTTTTCTCCCATTAATTTAGACCCGTTGCACTCATTGTTTTTTGTTGGATAACTAGATGTTTCTTTTTTTTGAATGAAATTTTACCCTCTTCCCCTTCTTATATTTGCGATTAGGACAAAGTACGACGACCCGAATCCGTCCCGTTTTATTCCGATCCCGAATTTTATGGGACAAACCAGGATAAGATTGTAATCTGAACCGTTCCAGACCGTGGGACAACCTAAAATCCGGACCATCCCAATCCGTGCCCACCCCTAGATCAAATTAGGACTAAAATATGTTTCATATACTAAAACAAGACTTAAATATTTATACTTCCTCCGTACCGCAATAATATGATGTTCAACTTATAATACTCTTTTTATATTCCCAAAATAAGGTTTCAATCTTTATATCATGTAAGCTTTAGATCATTTCTGTCTTCTCTGTACAATTTTCAATCACTCAATTGTGTTTTTTAATCTTCATACACTTTTAATTCTGGAAAATTAAAACAGGATGCATGGATCAGAGTACCAAAATATATACTCTCTTCATTCCACAATGGATGCCACTCTCTGAATGTGTGAAATCTCATCACTTTTTAAATCATTTTAATTATAAATTAGTTTAGAAATGAATTAAATAGTATAATTTGCATTGTTCAAAAGTACATAAAAAATACATCTACAAAACAAGAATCGTTGTTCCGATAGTTTAAGTCCAATGTGGTTAGATCTTTTATTACTTGTACTTCAATTTTTTCTTTAATTACACCAATGCATGTTAGATTAAATAGAATGAATAAAAAGCTAGTAAACTTTGTGTCAAGAATCCAAATGAAGTGTAATTAATAATAAAAAATAAATGCAAGGGCTTGTAATTAAGATGAGATGAGATGAAGGGCACTCATATGTTTAGGTGGAAGAAAGGAAGGAATAAATTTGGAAGTGAGTGTGTATGTGTTACTTCCTCCTTTCCTTTAACCCCTTCCCATTTTGATTTTGGGTAAAAATAAGAAAAGTGTAATTTTGGTTAACTTTCCAATTTTGCTCTTAATGTGATGAGTAAAAGTAAGATATGATAATTTGGTTATTAGTGAAAGAGTATGATCGGCAATGCGACATGTAGGGTATGAAAAAGTAAGGGTAAAAATGATTTTTTAATTGAAAGTAAAAGTGTTTTAGGGAATTGGAAAAAATGAAAGGGGGGTAGAGTAGTTAATAGTCCAATGTAAGAGTCAAAGTTGGAGTCAAAGTCGGAATTCTTAGTATGCCCTAGAATTTAGGAAACAAAATGCAAAGTACTGTATATATATATACACACACATACGTGAGTGAGTGTGATCCCACTAGGCTTGCCGCAAAACAAAGAAAGAAAGAAGAAAGAAGAAGAAAGAATGGAAGACGTCGGAGCGGTGTTCCGGAGGATGCACAAGATGGATGACGACGACCAAGACATCGTGACTTTCATCCGGCAAGCCATCTCCGTCGCTTCCGTCGTCGCCCCCGACCAACTCAGGAACCAGAGGACCCACATCCTCAAACTCCTGTTCAACGACGATGATCATCATCCTCAAGTTGCTGCTCATGTTTCCCCGCGGCCGGCGCCGGACAATAACAACCAGAAGAACATCAACATCATGGACAAAAAACCCGCCGCCGCCGCAGCTATTTCTTGTTCATCAAGAAAGATAAGGATCAAGATTCTCAAGAAGAAACCCCATGATGAATTATGGGCCGCCGCCGCCTTCAATACTAATACTCCGAGGCAAGAAGCTGGTGCCGCGGAGAATAAGCTGCTGGAAACCGCCAAGAGGAACCTGAGCCAGCGTTACGCGGAAGTTGCGGAAAACAAGGCCAAGAGAAAGATTCAGTGCATCGACGCTTCTGAAACCATGAAGCTTCTCTCCCGCGACCTCAACAGAACCACTACTGCTTCAAACCCTAAAAGGAGGAGGACGATGGTGAAGACGACGATGATCAACAACAACAACAAGAACATGATAATATGAGGAGTTCATGATCAACAATTTAATTAGTCCACTACATATTTTACTCTTTCTTGTTTACATGTAGACTACTTTGTGAGGTTGAATTGACTAGTGATTGCTTTAATGATGTAATTAAGAACTACATGCGGCTTGATCCCAGAATTCGTATCATTTGTTAGACTCGGTACGTAGGCAACCTCCATTATAAGGTTCAGCTGTGATTTTAATAAAATAAACTTATTCATTGTTTCTGTATATATTATTGTCTTTATTTCTATTTTGGAATTGAGAGTATTCTTTTCTTTACTCTAATAAGGTTCTGTGATCATGACATTGAGAACTAATGTCATTGTGTAACATTGAATACCTACATAGTGTTCTCTTGGGTCTGGATCGGAAGTTATTCCTTGCACATTTGGCATTTTGAGAAAAGTGGCAATAGAGGAGGAACCACATTTGGACTAAACAAAACCACATTTGTCGGTGACTGATATCATCTTGTAACATTGATTTCCATTGTAAAGGGAATGGAGCTCTTTTCTTTACAATTGTTATTTCATGTATTCGAAAGTGACAAGTGCAAAACATAAGTGATGTTTTAAACTATTACAACAAATAAATACTACCTCCGTCTCACTCTCTTTGTTCACTTACCTTTTGGCACACCATCCAATGCACTTTTTTAATCCATTTTATCTTGTAATTTATATATTAAAAAATTATAGAAATTATATATTAATAATCTACTCCCTCCGTCCCAAAAAGTCTTTCCTGTTTCATTTTTTGCGCATCCCATAAAACACTTCTACCGACATTTAAAATGCCCAAAATTTACAACATTTCTTGTTTATTGTGGGTAGAAGTTATTTTGAATTTTTTTTGGCATTCAAGGCGGGATATAAGTGTTTTATGGGATGCGCAAAAAATGAAACAGGAAAGACTTTTTGGGACGGAGGGAGTATATGTTAAGACAAATCAAACAAGATCACACATGATTATATTTAGGCTTACACATTGAGAGAATTTGATGAATCAAAGTGCTTAGATGAACAGTTCCAAAAGTCAAAAGTGGACAAAGAGAGTGGGACGGAGGTAGTACTAGCAAACAAGACACTCCATCTACATAGCATTCCAACATCTCATACCTGAGCTGTGATGAGTTTGATTTCAGATTTTGGAGGCATAACAAAATCTTCTTCGTTCTACTGCTGCTTCAACACTGGAGTATGTACATACTGAGCAAAAATCACTTCATTCAATAATTATGTACAAGAAGCGAACCAAAGCCGAAGATGATAAAGGGGAATGCCGTATACGAGACAGATTGGAGGAATTATGGATAGACCATAGAAGGGGATAGTGTAGAGACAGTCGAGCACAAAGGCACCATAATACATGCATGCTTTGAACTGTAGATGAGAGGGGTAAACCTTGATAGACCAATTTGCATCAGTCTATACGACCAACGCATTTGTTGAACTAACATATCGCTCAGGTTCGTTGTGGAAGTCCCTAATAAGAAACATGGCCTGGAAAGGTCATCAATCAACACGGAAACACACCCGTTGTAGTGCAATTGAAGGCTTGTTAGGGCATCCTCCATAACAGTGAAATATCGGAACCCAATCTGCCATTTAATGAAACAAAAACTATATTAGAAGAAGATCGATTAGTGGTTGGTTGTCCCATAGACACGGTAGAGACTTGCCTGTTTACCCCATTGCGTGCCAGTGTCGTAAGTGGAAAAGGCCAGCAATTGAAGCTCCTTTTGCAATGCATCAAAAGGCTTTCTGTCTTCAGCCTAATGTACAAAGAAGCAATTAAGGCAAGGCAGTTCTGAAGCATTTTCAATTCTATTTTGTTATAGAAACACAAAAACCACAGAGATTTCATGCTCAATAATTAAGAACAAATCAATTCTACTAGAAGCAAAACATTTCACAAACATATCGAAATATTTAAAACCGATTATCACGAACCGAGCCGTTCAAATCTATATACGGAGTATCATGTTGTGCTTTTTATACATAATTATACTTTTATTTTAATATTTTTTGAGTGATGCATGTTCATTTTTGGCATGGTTTGAGCATAAGATATTGTATAGTTTTGTTACGTTTCAAAATGGAATTATACCGAATGGTTTTGGGGTTAAGAAAACCCTCTAGATAGGAACAAAACATACTCCCTCCGTCCACAAATAAACTTCCCATTGTTTATTCACGGGGTCAAACTTTATTCATTTTGTTGCCCTATTTTCGTCACCCATTTGATAAAATAATATAGTCATGTCACTTCTAATTTCGTAGATCTTTTGATATAGTTTTTTTAATATGTACTCCCTCCGTCCCTCATAGATCTTCTCAATAGCCCTTTTTCTTTGTCCACAATAGATCTTCTCATTTCATTTTTTAACAATTAAAATACCACAACTACCCTCACTTACTTTATTTATTACACCTCACCCACCTCATTTAATACACTCCACCCATTTTTCATTAAGGGTATTATGATAAACTTTCACCTTTTTTCAACTCTCCTTAAAAACCACCAAAAGTCAAAATGAGAACATCTTAAGGAGACGGAGGGAGTAATTTTTAAAAAAAAATTTTACACCATTTTTCATATAAAATTATTTGAAAATAAATTCAGTCAAACATTGGTACGCGCAACGAGAAGTTTATTTGTGGACGGAGGGAGTATATATATACCATAATGACTAAAACATAATGACTTTCTCAATATAGAACCATATGTTTCTATTTTCCAATGTAGGACCATTGGTCATTATCTATTAGTCATTATTCAACTAAATGTCCAGCATCACCTTGGACATTACTCTTCTCACTAGTCATTATTAAGTCCTATTTAGGGAATAAAAAAGTTTAAGTCCTACATTGAGAAATGAATTATGTTTTAGTCTTATTCAGTGCAAATATCACTATTAATATACGTATAAAGTACCACGGGCACCAATGCTCCATTCTCAGACCTTATCCCGATCTAATACGCAAATCTCTTTCTGCCCCCCTCAATATACTCAATTGCCTCTGTCACCAATTCATACCTCCATCGTCGCTGTCGCCGATTCACAATGCCATCGCCGGCGCCGCCATGCACCCCTACCCTTTGTTCCTCAGTACACTTCAATCGCCGCTCCCACTACCTAATCAATGTGAATTTGCCGCCGCCGCCATGCACTCCCGCCCATCACAGACTCTAACACCCCGAAGACCGGTATCCCTAGCTATCACATCAGACTTTTTCACTAGTAATCTATCTATTATATCTTATTCATATCTACCACATAAAAGGCAAAATTGGAAAATTAACTACATATATGCACTCTTTATTTCTCTCATTAGTCAAAATAGGAACCGTTTTGATTAATAGAGGGAGTAATAATAAAGAACAAATTAAATCTACTCTACGAGGAGCAAACCATTGCATATAATGTTTTCTCATAAAAATATTCTTTACTTTATTTTTAAAGCAATAAAAATTCTTCTCCTTTAATTCCTTTACGAAAATTCTTATACTTCGTATAGTAATACGGAATAGCATAAAAGTTTTCACTTTTCTTAAACATCGTAAAAGTCGGACAAGAACATCTTTTACGGGATAGTAGTGGCGTGGTAATTGTGCGCGCAATACACTTTTTTTTACCTAAAGCTTAAAATATGAAACTGATATCAAAATGAGATTGTTTATTTCTATCTCAAAAATAGAGTATTTGGACTGTAAATATCATAATTTGTATTATATTTAACATTTCACATTTTTTGTTGGCATTATATGTTGCCATTCTTTGGCATTTTAAATCGTATTTTATATTGAAACATTGAAACTTTTATTTTGTAGTCTTAATTAGATATTCTTCAGGGAGTATAAGAGATTCCAAGTTTAGAAACAATGCATGCGTTTTAATACTCCCCTAGTGTTAATCCCGTGATTCGCACGGACTCGTATATATTCTAAATTTTTAAGATTCTATAAAAATAATTTTAGTTGTTTTAGTTTTCTGATAGTGAAAAAATATGTTTTAAAATGATGGAATATATATTGGTATGTTAATATAAAAACAAACAAATTCTACAAAATTAATGGTCATTGAATTAAGTACTAATAAAAATAGTTTTAATTAATAAAATATTTTAATAAAAAGTGGATTAATTAAATAATGATACATCATTAGAGAATGTTTATGTGTCATAATGTCACTTGTCAGTTGTCACCATTCAATTAATTATTATCACATATGTGATAATCGATTATCACGCTGTGCTGAATCAACTGAGGAGTCCAGCGTGACCTGATAGTCGATTGTACTATCCTGTAACTCGATTATCAAGGCACGCTGATTCCCATTTTATCAGTTTGTTTGTCATCAAAACGTTGGAAGTTTTAGAAATGAATGTTTACATTTCCAGGTTAAATAATCAACTTCTTACAAGGTTTCAAAACGTTTATATTAACGAGTACATAATGGAGAGGTCCAATAACGAAGACTCATGATAACGTGGACACACGTATGTTTAGCCGGGTAATCCTATAAATATAATGACATGATTGAACTAAAAGTTAGAGGGCAACGTACTCACCTCTAACGCAGAGATTGACGATACGGAAATGGATGAACGAACGACTAATGAACGGACGAGCGGTGGACAACGAACGGCCTCACGCGTAGACCTTCTTCTCTTCTTCGTTCTTCTTTTCCTTCTCGCCGGAAACCGCCTCGCCTGGCTACTGCTGTGTGTGTGGCTGAACAAGAGAAGAGGGAGAGGGAGAGTTGAGTGCTATGGGGGTTACAATTGCTAAGGGGGTGTGAGGAAAGTGGAGACGGGAGGGGTTATTATATTGAATGGGAATATAATGGGACATTAATGGTGAGTTTAAGTTGAGAAATGAGTGAGAGGGGAGGGTAGTGGCGTATGGATTAAATGGGGAGTTACCTCCCATAAATTCACTCTGTTGCATAAAATCTGACCTGAACGGTACACGCTTTTCCCCCCAAACGGGTCCGAATTGAAATCCGTTTGCGTTTCCGGAATCAGACAGTCAAGACGAACATTATGGCGTGGTCAAATAATTTTTCTGAAGACTTTATTTTCCTAACCCCGGTCCGAGTTAGTAATTAATTACTTAATTAATTAATTCTAATAGACCGGGTCGCAGGGCGTTACAAGTATAACACGAAATTTTTTTATGACGCGATTATATATAATTTTATATAAGTAAAAACATAAATATATTAGAAAACATATAATTTTTACCAACGATAGGATGCTCGGAGACGTCAACCCAAGCCGACGCCAATAAACACTCTTCCTTCGGCATCCACTTTTGGATTGACCTTGCCGCCTCGGTCATCATGCCTTTCGCTTTGTGGCTCTTCCGGCGTGCACTTTTCTTGGTGCCGGATGGTTCCGGTTGAGTCTCCGGAACTGAATCTCGCTCGACGTACCCCGATTGTTGCGTCTCGAACATCGGCGGATGATTCCCGTATTGTTGGAAAAACCACATCGCGGACTCGTGAGGCTCGAGATCATCGGGGAAGAAGCCGGAGCCGGAAGGATTCATGTTCAAAAGAGAGTTAGAGAATTGGAGAATTGAAGAATGTGTGAAGAAGATTGAAGGTGTGAGAATGGGAGGGGGGGAGTTTGAAATTAAAAAATAATAATTAAAATTTTCTTTTTTTGGGGTTTCAACGGCTATATTAGCCGTTAGGGGGAGGGGAAGGATGCGTCAAAACAATGACGCGGAGAACATCACGCCGGGATGAAGCCGCGGGGGCGGTGTTTAACGCCCCCTGGGCGTGAAAATCGGAATAACGCCAGTCGGCGTTACGAGTATACCGAGTGCTCTTATTTATAAGGAATCTCACATCCTACCTAAGAGAGAGTTAAAGAAACAAAAAGTTTCATGCCATATTGGCAAACCTATTTCAACAGATTTTTATGGTTTGAGAACATTGCGTTTTTTTAAAGAGAGTTCATACCATATTTAGTTCAAGGATGGCAAAAGTGAAACTGGTCATATTTCTTATTGCACCCCCAATATTTTCTTTTAGTACAAGGGTTGACAGAATCAAAATTAGTTCATGAGGGTTGAGGGTCATATTTCTTATAGGGAAATCCTGAGTTGGTAAAAAAAAGGGCCAATAGGAAACATGAGTATTAGAATACATCATGATTACAGAAAATGAACATGTCACAAAACATCCAAGTCAAGAAAGCAAAATGTATAACTCAACCTCAAAGTACAATGCCAAATGGCTAGCTGATACAGGAGGATCTTACTTAAAATAGCAAATGGTCTCCAAAATGCCTAGCCAAACACCAGGAGATGAACCCATAAAGGTTACTGGATAGTTTCTTTTTACCTATTGAAAATCCTTTCAGAGAAGACAATATTGCATCTCAAAATGCACACTACAAAAACAGATACTCATACATAAAAGTTTTCATAGGGAGAGGGCCAAGGGGGGGCACTCACTCTATGCATAGAAAGCAAAGCCAAGCCTGCAAATTTATCCTTTAGATCCAATCTTTCTGCTGAAGCTTCAATGGCAAATACACTTCAGTGAGGTACTGAAACCCGAACGAGCTCAGCGCCTGAATCTCAGCCTTGTGTTTGGATTTAACCATCAAATTCAACTCCTCGACCCACCCGGGGTTCTTCTTCACAAAGTCTTCTTCCAACAAATCCTTCCCGGTCTTAATATCCTGCTCGGTCATGTCTAACCTGCAGAGTTCAGGAATGTTGTACTTGTCAAGATCACTCGGTCGGACACCCAACCATTTTATATCCGGAGTTGTCAGATTTGCGCTGTCATAAGACATGTTCTTAGACCCACACCCATACACAGATAGAATCTTGAGTCCATATGGATCACTGTCCACAAGAGCTAGCACCGGCAAGTTCAACTCCATCTTCATTTTTCTCAAGAACAACCTTGTAGCCACATCCGGCTGCCCCTTGGCCGTGACAATGATACATGGAAACCGATTGTAAAACCTGTCCTCGGCCAGTCTCATATAAGCAGCATCCTTCTCAACCAAGAGTATGAACAGTGCATCACTCTGCATATCCCCAACCCGGTCAATGTTTGGGGGGATGGCCTTTCCTCCCATCCCCATCTTCGTGCAATCGATCACATCGCCATGGTCACTGAAAATAAGCCTACCCACAACAACTCCTTTCTCAGAGGCAACCACATTCAGGCTGGACCTTGTACACCCCAGGATACAGGAGACGTCGTCTAATACGGCGTCGGATTGAGTCTGGTCCACAAATAGCTTCACGTCGGAATAGAAGAGGTCTCGCTTCGTGACGTGGATTTGCTTGGAGCAGAGCTCGTGGATGAGGCGGAGGATGCGGGTGGTGATGGTGGTTTTGCGGACGGTGGAGACATTGGCGAAGGGGCGGACGGATGCCTTGTCTTTGAGGACAATGCGATCGAGTTCGGGGATATAGAGCTGGTTGGCGGAGGAGCGGGAGGGGACGGTGTAGGAGAACCCTTGGCCGGAGAGGATGGAGCGGGCAAGGCTGAGAATGAGATCCTCTATGGAGGTTTGCACGGCGGAGAGGGGGAGATCTTTGACTTCGCGGAAGTTATCGGCGAGATCCAGGTCGGAGAGGGTTAGGGTTTTTGAGCTGGAGGAGGAAGCCACTGCTGCGTCCTTTAGGTTCTTGAGGATTTGGAGGATGTCGGAGTCCGGTCTGACCTTAGATTTGAACGGAATCCGTTCGGCGCCGGCGTCGTGGGTTGCTCGCCGACGCTTCTTGTTGTCCGCCATTGGGAAGGTTGCCCGGAGAGAGAGGCCGGAAACCTTTTGGGATATTGGGTTCTCCGTAATTCACAGAAGGCCCTCTTGAAAAACAGAAATTAGAAGGCCCAACAGCACAATCTTAATAAAATGGCCGCAAGCCCAAGCGAGAATAATAAAATGGCGCCGGTAAGTTGCTGAAAATTAGTAATAGGCAGACGGTTAAAAGTTAAAACTTGTTCTATTTGTCTGATTTTATTGGATCTCATGTCATCTTATTAAGATTGATCTGAACCGATATTGTTGTAGTTATTAGTTATATATATAAAATTGTTTTGATCTAATCTACTATAGTCTAAACTGATTCCAACGAAAATAAGTCGAAGAGAACTATAACTTAAAAGGAATAAGAGTGAGAGTGACATTTTTGACAGATAATAAGAAATTCAGTGACAGTATTGAAACATAATGAAAGGAAGTTACATTTGCGGGTTCCTTCTTTAGTTGATTGACTCGTGGTCCATTAGCGACCAAAAATCAGTCCTTGATATATGTCCTTCCACAATTCAGCCGCCTCCACCAAGGTGATGGAATTTCGTAGCGAGGCGTCAACTATGTTGAACATCCATGACACCAACATGGCGTTCACGATCCACCATTCTTTGTATTTGTCTTTGTCCGCTTCAGGTTGAGGTATGGATCCATCAATTAATTCAAATTTTCTTTTAGCATGGAGAGCACGGAGGGAAATTCACACCGCCCATGCCCATTCTTCATCATTACCACCGTTCAATTTGACCTGGGTGATAATCAGTGCATGTGTCTTTGCATATTTCAATTTGTAAAGATTGACCTTGGCAAATTGTTTGTCGTTGTTCTTCGTTTTGGAGAACGGATTCTCCTCCCTCTCGTCAGCCATATTCGAAGCAAAAGTGGTTGAGGGTTTTGGTCGGCCGGGTCAAGGAAGTCTCAAGATTTTACGCTCCGATACCATGTTACCATGAAAGAATTTTGTATGTTCCAAAAGTATAGTCTAATACAAAGATGAGATCCTCTTTATATAAGAAGAGGTAAAACCATATTGGTTTTCCCTCTTTCCTTTTGTGTATACGTGCGTCGCCCAACAGATTCCCCCCTCCCAAGCAAACGAATGGATCGGAAGTGCCAACACTTAGACGACCACGAATCGCTAAGCATGGATTTCAAGACGAACAATCTGGTAATATGTGTTACATGTCGGTTTCCATACGGACAATTGAGCTAAAGGCACGACCACTAAGAATGAACGTCTAGACAGACACTTAAACTTTGAGTGCAATTTAAAAGAAAAAAATGAAGAAATAAATTTTAAATCCGAGTACTTGTGTAGAAAGTGGTATCTTATTTCAATTTTAGTTTTTTTTTTTTGCATTTTTATTCATTTATGTGTTAAAAATTAAAGTTGTTTTTTTTTTTTTTGCATTATTCCAGATTTTAGTTTGCACACATTACACATTTGTAAATTGTTTAGTATGCCTCGGTCTTCCCTTGGATCGAATTCCTTCAATCTAATTACCGGTAGAGCGAGTTGTAGTGTATAATTAACATCTTTTGTCTTTTGGTTTTATGAGTCTCCCTTTGATTGTATCGACAAGGGATGGATCATTGTTCCGGAGCGAGCAGGATTTTTGGAAGGAGTACGTTTCCGAGCCATACTAATAATATGGGTGCTCTTATGCCATTTGTCAAAGACGCATAGGAGGGCATGCAGATTGGCAAAGTTATATTGCCCGGCCTTGTCTTAGACTAGTCCATTATTGAAGTAGCTACTACTTTTTGGTTGCTTCTTCCTGTCTACACTCTTGAATGTAATCGCTGTTTTGCTTTTTGGAGCTAAATATTTGGGATCTTGTATTCGGGTCACATCCGGTTCTTAGATGGTTTTTTTTGTCAACTTCTCTGATTAAACTTTAAATATAATTGTAATCGGCCAAAATCAGATCAAATCAAATTTTAATAGAACATTAGAACTGATGGGTATATCTTTATACCCGACCCGGATAACCAAAAGGGACAGGTCAAAGTATGACCGGTCACTTTTATCAATCACCAAATGAGGTCAACTCTTCGATTGGGACGGGTCAAAAGTTGACCGGTCACTTCCACTAAAAAAGTGACCGGTCACATTTTGGGCGATAGCCAAAATATCACCTAATGTTGTGAAGAATTCAAGAAGACCAAAGAGACAGGTTGAGCTCAAGAAATGACCGGTCAACCTTTGAGAAAAAGGTGACCAGTCATATCATCTTACTTGACAAATATTGGTCCAGTATCTCAGGCATGGTGAACCACGTCAAAGATCGAGGGACCACCCCGCCGTTCGTCCATCACGAGACAAACAGTGAAAGGAATGTTTGTCATTTTGCAGGGCTGATTGGATTGAGAATATCCATTTATAGTCTTTGATTGAACAGTACATGTCTTGGCTTATAGTTTCTAAATTCATTGATTGAATAGTAGATTGATTATGTACAGTGACCTTCCTCCGGGTTTCCTATTTTGTCCATGGATGAACAGGGGAAAGTCACAAATCCTCCTCTATAAATATGATGATATTGGATAGAGGGGGGATCCAATTTTTCTCTCACTAAAGTTCACTCTTGAGATAGAGTAAGAAATATAATTCGGATTGAGGAGATTTACCCGGTCTAGGTCATACTTTGTGTTCTTGTTGTGTGTTTTATATTACGGGTCGAGTGTGTCCAGGTCAAACCCGGTTAACCCACCCCGCTATATTTACACCATCAAGAACCTATCTCCACTCTCCAATTTGGTTGTTGTGCTTTAGAATGTCTGTGTTTGTGTTTTTTTATTTTACTTCGTCCCAAAATGTTTTGTACTTTAATTTCTATAAAACAATGTGAAATTTCAAGTTTTTCTAATTAATTTATTTTAAAATTGGTAAAGAAATAACAAATAACTTACTTCAGTACATATTTAAAAAATATGTCAAATGTTTTACACATTAAGATGTGACAAGAATATTTTCTTTTATCAAATAATCAATAAAAGTATACAAATAAACAAAAGTTCCTGTATTTTTGAACATTTGGACACCCAAATTGAGTGTCATATTATGATACTCACCGTATTGAGATTTTTACAATGTTCTGTTTAAATAATTGATAGTTTTTACTTTTTCTAAGCCACAACAAACTCCCCTACCTCAGCTCGACCCGAAGACAAAGTCAAATAAATTTGAGAGGGTATGGTTGCTGCCTTCGAGTTCGCTTAAGGGGTGTGGGCGTTGAATGCAAGGGTAAATTCTATGGTGGACTTAAATTCCACCATGGACATACATATGAGAACCCAAAGTGCACCATAGAAGCACTCGAACGCAAGAGAGGGGAGAAGGCAGGAAATAAGAGGGCTAGAAAAAAAAAGAAAAAGAATCATTAGACGACAGAGAAGAATCTAGAGGAGCTTGGACCGTAGCGACCAAGATCAACGGAGAATCATTGATGATTCTCGAATAATCCATCCAAGGCGCTACATGACAAAGAAGCCACCTTCCTCACTAGGCGACAAGACCGCTATAGGACAGAGGCAATCACCTCGCGCCATCCCAGTAACGTGCCTCAATGTGGGTGCACGACACTTTGTCCCCTTTAACTTAGTATAAATACTGTTGTAACTTTTCGAAGGAATGGATTCAAATTCCTTCTCTCTAAACTCCCTTGTAAAAGCTCACGTGCATTCTCCTATATTTATAATATCAATTGGGCTACATGTGTTTCCACATATAGTCCTCCCGGTCATTTGTGTGTTTTTGCCTTTTCACTCTCTGAATCAAGTAAGCAATCCTAGACTCGGTCTAGAATAGTTTACCCGGTTAGGTAATTTACACCATCAAATAGAGTAAATACTAACTAATAATTAATTAATTAAATAATCTAGCTATCATCTATATCAAATACTTCTTTCATTTTTGAAAACACTCCTCATTTTGACCAAGTGCCAAAATAAGGAAGTGTAAAATTGTACTCTCTCCGTCCCAAAATATTTGTCACTTGCTTTTTCAGTACTCGTGGGAATTTTTGTTTATTTCTATTTTTTTATTGGTTATTTGATAAAAAATATTCTTGACACCTCTTATTTCGAAGAAATTTTCATGTAGTTTTTTGATATGTAAATTTTATTTTTTATTTCTATACCATTATGTAAATAAAATGAATTGAAAAAACTTAATATTTTACCTCGATAATAGAAGTGTAACAAATATTTAGGGACGGAGGGAGTAGTTGACTTCCAATTTTACCTTTGATGTGATGAGTAAAAGTAAAATGTGATAAATAGATTATTAGAGAAATATTATGATGTGATAGAAAGAGTAAGAAAAAGTAGGGTAAAAGTGGTTTTTAATAGAAAGTGGAAGTGTTTTGGTGGAAGAGAAAAGTGAAATAGAAAGTGTTTTCCCAAACAAAGGTAATACTAGGGGTGAGCGTGGTACGGTATGATAATTTAGTTTGTACCGATACCATACCAAATATATCGGTTCGGTATGGGATTTTACATCGTACCGATCCCGATTCCGAAATATCGGTTCGGTATGGTTCAAGATGGTTCGGTTTCGGTTTCGGTAAATATTGGGACAAATATATATACTTTCCTAGTTCATACTTTGGAATGTACAAAACTTTTTATTTAAAAAAAAATCGAAAGTACATTCAAATAAAAGTAAGATAAACAATTGGAAAATGAATAATTAAAGAGAAATTTACCTAAATAGGACTAAAACATAATGATTTTTCCAATATAGGACCATATGTTTTTATTTCTCAATGTAGGACTTTTGGTCATTATAAAGTAGTCATTATTCAAGTAAATGTCCATCATTACTGGACATTATTTCTCTCACTAGGTCATTATTAAGTCCTATTTAGGGAATAAAAAAGTTTAAGTCTTACATCAGGAAAGTCATTATGTTTTAGTCCTATTTAATGCAAATTTCACATAATTAAATGCAAAAATACTTATAAAACTTAGTTTGATTTATACTTCATATTTTACAAACAAAAGAGAATGAATGATAAGAAAATAACATTTCAAATATTTGTTAAATTTGCTATATAAATCTACAAAAAATAAAATTCAAATAAATGATTATATAAATAAAAGTTTATTTGTAATTCATCTACACTTTGAACCAACTTTTCAAAATCAATTTATTTTTGAATGAAGAAATATAAAAACATTGTTATTTTTAGAACGTATTTGTATATATGTTCGGTTCGAGATTTTTTGGTATGAGAAGTTAGCTCGTACCGATCCCAAATATCGGACCGATCATTCGGTTCGGTATGGTACGGTTCTTTTTCGGTATTTTATCGGTTCGGTATTTTTTGGTTCGGTAATCTCGGGTTTTTCGGAAAATTTCGGTGTCGGTTCGGTACGTGCTCACCCCTAAGTAATACTAATGTCAAAAAAGACTAGTTTTATACTATATGATATTTTAAATTTTTAATACCAGTATAATATAATGGAGGTATTAATAATTATAGTATAGCATTCCTATAATTAAAATCGAATGATAAAAAAAGATATGCGAAACACACATACTTTTGAGACGTGGGTAAAAATAATGAACAAACACATGTTCTAAAAAGAGCTTTCCACTACAGCATCCTCTCATATTTTCTTGTTTCTTAAGAGATCAAATTAGTTAATTTTATAATAATGCCCAAAGTAGACTTTACGGATCAAATTAGCTCTTAATTAATTAATTACTAATGCTCGCCTTGGCTATTCATTTTAGTGAAAATGTGCCACAGCCGCTTGATCTCGCCGGAGACGTCGTCGGTCGGAAGCTCAAGCCGGCAGCACGGACACGTGTTCCTCTTGTGAAGCCACGGCAATATACACATCCAGTGAAACAAATGCTGACATGGCAGCTCGCACACATCCCTCCCTACCCTCATCTCCTCCTTACATATCACGCACTCCCGCCCCCCCGCCTCCCCTCCTCCCACTTCCACCGACCTCAGCGCCACCACCGCCACCACCGAAGCCGCCACCTCTCTCCCCTCCTTCCCGTCGCGGCCGCCCGTCGCGTCGACAAAGTTCTTGCACCTCGCCACGAGGTCCACGAACTCCGACAGCGCCCCGGCGGGGAGCGTCAGAGCGCTCCCNGTCGAGCGCTCCGGGGTCGGTCCGGTGGAGGTCGCAGAGGAGGAGGAGGAGGAGGGCGGCGTCGAGGTCGCGGAGGGTTGTCACGGGGGAGGAGGCGGGGAGGAGGGCGTGGGTGGCCAAGAGGGAGAGGTGGGAGAGGAGGTGGCGGGAGATGAGGAGGGATTTCTGGGGGAGGGAGAGGGTGTGGAGGTGGTGGAGGGTGAGGGAGAAGAGGGTGGGGGAGGAGAGGAGGGCGGAGAGGCGGCGGCTGCGGTGGTGGAACGTGGCGGTGAGGTGGCGGGTGAGTTGAGAGAGGACGGAGGGGGAGAGAGTGGAGAGGGCAGCCATGATAGTGGTCTCTGGTGACGATGATGAAGAAGACCAGCTTTCCATCTTAATTATTTTTAATTAATTATTAATGATACATACTAGTATAAAACTAGTATATGGAATTATTAAGTAGAATAGAATTGTCTTCTATGAGTGGTGGGAAAGCAGTGAGTTTGGCCCGGAAATGGGAAGGTGTGGGTTTTATAGGAGAAAATTTGGGGGGAAACGAGTGCCGCAAGACTTAAAAAAAACCTTCATTCCTCACCCTCCTTTGTTCAGAGTTGAAAAAAGTGAAAATTTATCATAATACTCTTAATAAAAATGAGTGGAGTATATTAAATGTGATAGGTGAGGTATAATAAATAAAGTAAGTGGAGTAGTTGTAGTATTTCAATTGTTAAAAAAGGTAATGAGAAGATCTATTGGGGACAAATAAAAAGGACTATTGAGAAGATCTATGAGGGACGGAGGAAGTATCTTGGTCCATGTCAGTTTTGTGAATTTTTTCAAATAAAAAATCTTTTTTTATTAAAAAAAAACTTATTTAAATAGTAACGAAATGCTTATTTTACTCATTTAGGTCTATCATAAACCTTAGTTCCATAATATAATTTACCTTAGTTCCATAAACTTAATTTATCATATTTTTTTTGGGATAAAAAAATTGGATTAAACAAAAAAAATCAACAGCAATGACGGTTTAAGGACTGACCTCCCACATGGACTGATGGACTGTTGTTAAATTATTCAAATTAAATTGTTTATTTACTATTCACATGTTCAAAACTTATTAATTTTTTTACTTATTTACATTAGTTATTTGATAAAATATGTCATGTCACCACAAGTTTTGTAGATTTTTTGATGTTGTTTTAAAATATGTAATTTTTTTAAAATTCTACACCAATTTTCATATAAAATGTTTTAAAAATTATTTAAGTCAAACATCGTAAATCGAAACATGTGATTTAAATTGGGACATATGGAGTAATTTAAATCGTCTGTTTCGATTTATGATATTTGACTGATGTTTTTTGATAAGTTATTTGAAAATTTGGGTAGAATTCAAAAATAAAATTTACATACGAACGGTATTTAAAAACTACATCAAATACTCTACAAAACAAGATGTGACATTATTATACTCCATATTATTTTATCAAATGATTTAAGAAAATAAAGTGAATAAAATCCAGTCACAAAAGTTGTAAACAAGTAAGTTAATTTGGACAAAGAGAATAGAAAATTCGAAGACCACGAACAAAATAGACAAAAAATACTCATGTGCCGGTGATTATTAGTTTATTGCTGATAAATAATTTTGAACTTATAAAATGCTTATAAGCCAAATATTCTTTCGTAAAAGTAAAATGAATTAAATTACAGATAAGTCATTTGAGAATATTCATAAATGGCGTGAGATAATTTTGTAAATATTGTTTTCAAAACGAAAAAAAGATGGATTAAAATAAGTGAGACCTTATTTGTTTAAATTTATAAGCAGCTTATAAATTTTCTTATAAGCACATAGACACATGCTAACAACTGACTTATAAATTAAAAATTGCATATAAACAGTTTTGACTTGCTTATAAGCACATAGAAACACCTACAAAATTAACAACATAAAATATTCTTTAATCACGTTTGAGTACGAAAAATAAGCCAGTTGAATAATCATGGCTACATGAAGAAATTCATAGCACAAATCACGTTTCATAGCATGACGATGAAAAAATTCTGTGCATCAAAATAAATTGTTCTTCATCAATGAACGCCGTGACAACGACACAACATTTAGCGCCGTAACAAGTGAAGGCAACGACATCAAGAAATAGGAACCCAAAACTTAATTTTTTGAATCTTTCTGAATGTCTAAGCGTTGTTACGTCATTGTGCCCGTGATAACCATGTGACAAAAACGAAAAATTTTCCGTATATAATATAGGCATATAGTGAATCTGGGGCGGCTCAAGGCAGGGGCAGGGTGGCTACCCGACCTGTATGGAAGGAGACTTCAAATGGATGAGTGTCATCTGCTCACACTGGATCACATTATTATCATGATCATTACTATTACTATTATTATTATTGTTGTTGTTATAATTACAATTACAATTATAATTATTAGTAGGTGCTTAAATACATGATAAAAGTAACAATGGACACATTATACTACAATTATATATGGATGTGTAACGTGGTGCGAAGCGTTGGGGTGGTGTGAGGTGATGGAGTTGAAATGGAAGGGAGTGAATTGGGTATGTCTGTCTTTTGTCCAAATGCATGTGTCCGGTTCAGCCAATTAAGCAACTTCCAACCCACTTACTTTTCTTTATCAATACATCTGAAAAACAACAAACATATGAGCAAAAAAATAAAAAATCATTCCGTCCATATCCATTGACTATGCATGTCTCTGTACGTATTTTGCAATATTAATGGATCATTCTCAGTTGCAGACTTTGATTCTCTGCCACAGTTAGTTGTACGGGGCCGCGTTGTTAAGAAAAGAGTGAGGTCGTTGCGTCGTGTCTGAGGAAATTTATATGAAGTCGTTAGGTATATCCCGGGAAAGTTTGTCGTCTACGTAAATTTCTTTATGGCTTACGTCGGTCTCTGAGAAACTGGTTGTGGCTTTGGTTAATTCCAAACTGGTATATATACACGAATAGACAACGGCCAATTAACAACACGGCCCAGTAACTAACAAGTTGAGATCCAGTATCAACCCAAAAGCTTAAGCTGATGGATAAGACTTCTCCTTTCTATATATGCTAGTGGCATTTCATTATTATTATTTTTGGATGTGAGAACTTCCAACATTAGCGGTGATGTTATCGGAATGTATCCCAAGGGTTCCTATAGAAGATTCCCCAAGGCTCTGTTTAGTACACTGAATTCAAAGTATGAAATTAAAATTGGAGACAACACTTCCAATTCTGATGTTTGGTAACACAAAAAATGTGTGGATTTCGAATTGGTAGGGCCAAAAATGAATTGGAATTGGAGAATTTAATTCCATCCAAATCAATTCCATAAAATTTCAACTCTATATTCAATTTCAATTCCGTATACCAAACGGATCCTAATTGTTTCCTTTGACATAACGTTTTACTCAGGCAGTTTTTTTTTTAAAACCCAAATGTTGTTTACTGTAACTAGACCTTCACATGTTAAGGCTTCAACAGGCTGACAGCGAGCAAGTTAGCTTACTGATTATAGAATCCAGTTTGTGTTAAGAATGCTTCTCTGTACATTGGGAAAATGGGCATTTTACTACACAAAGGGTATAATTCAAGTTTCTTGCTCTAAGGAAATGAAAATTCCAATTAGTTTATGAGATGATGATGCATACCTAGCAAAAAGGGAATGCACTTCTACGTGACGTGGCTCAGAGGGCTAAATCCGAATTCATCATCTACGTCGTCATCCCCTTCAAAGAGTCTTATGAACCGCGCTTGTTCTTGCTGCCTCTTCCTTTTCTGCCACAACTTGTATGAAGTTACCATGCCAAGGGCAAAAACCACTGAAACCGTAGCACCTATTACCACAATGAAAGCCCAATGCGTCATTGCCTTCTCGTTTGAGGGACCTGAATGCTGTGGAGCTACATGAGATGGGAGGACAAAAGAAAAGAAAACGTTAAATGCGTGTCATTTTAAAATCAGAAAATTACTCCGGGGTACCCTCGATTTTCTGATAATAACTCCCAGGGATCCTTAAAATTTGTGTTTATGTACTTCGAGCATACATTCAGTATATTTGGCCATTAGGATTAAAAGTTCCGTTATTTTGAGAAATACTAAACTTTACCTTCATAATCATTATTTTATTAAATTTAAATAAAATCTTCCAATTTGTCAGGGTAAAGGAACTTCCAATGATTAATGCCTAAATGGACGGAATGTACCCTTGGAGTGTAATATCACACATTTTAAGAACCCCAGAGTATATTCCGGGTAATGTTGGACCTGAGAGTTCTTACCAGAAAATTGAAGGTGCCCCAGAATATATTTCGGATAATGTAAGGCATATGAGTTATTACTAGAAAACCGAGGGTACCCCGGGGTAATTTTCTATTTTAGAATTGAATAAAATATGCATAAATTCAGTTAGAGCAATAGAGAGGACGAGTGTAACAACGTACGACCAACAGGATGGGCACATTCAGGACACAAGAATGTTGCGTTGAGCTCCTTGTCCTTGAAATGGATGTATTTGCCATCAGTACTCGAAAAATCGGAAGCACAAAACTCCCACTCATCAAAAACATCGCGTGGCTTCATTGAGTCGTCTTCATAAAATCCACATCTCTTGCATTTCTTATTATGGAGTTCCACAAGAGGCTGAAGCATCAAATTGTTGGTTATTAAACACAAGCATCCAATACATAGTTGACAGGATCAGAAAATACATCCAACAACCCACAATCTTTTTGTAGTTCTCTCTTCAATCAAGATCTGCACTGGACCTTACCGGGCAAGATCCGAAGTGGATCTCTATTTTTACGGAGAAATCTTAAGATTTATGCTCAAATTTGGGTTGTGTTGGTTCACGTGCTTTTCACCCAATTCTTTTTTGAAACTAGACACCATGTTAGGAAACATTCCATTTTTTATTTATCTGCAGCCTAGTTGATTCAAATCTCCTACGAATCGGCACATAGGAAGATATGTATCTTCCCTTTTGTACCATAGACTCACCATCCATTAATCTTCTTCAAAACTGGCAGATTTGCCCATCTTATTTACTTCTTTTCTTGTGTACAATTCACATATTTTGATGGAATTATTCTGAAATGCAGGATCATAGGATATTTATTACAATCTAATGAATGAACTATCCACCACCACCTCGTGATCCTAGGTAGCATTGTAATTTTCACAATACTGATTCGGACAAAGCCTAATCTGTATGAGAAATCAAACAAGTCACTTGTTCCTCTGATATGAACTGGTGAGGTGATTTAAGAAATCAACTTCTTTCTAGTGCCTGAAGCTTGAAATGGTCACATATATAGTGTAGGATGCAAGTATATTTAGCCTCAAATTGGTCAGAAGGACTGAAACAATCAAATAAGAATCTGCAACGAAACCTCCCAGCAACAAAAGCAGTGAATAACCACTAAAACAATGATTTTGCTTTCTTCTTCATGATGATTACATCAGCAGAAAAAAATTTATCGAGGTGATCCATACTTACTCTAGCTCTCTGGTATGGCCGTGTCCCAACGAGAAACACTCAAAGAACAAGTATAGGGAATTTTCTTCAACATGGTCAATAAAAACCCTGTCTTAAGCTTCTATTTACGTAATTCTTCTGATCATTTCAAGAAATATCAGCCTTCAAACTAGATTTGTCAGCATTGTGATAGGCAACCTATTTAGGAGATACGATACATCATACATGTAAAGATTAATGATTAAAAGTCAACTGTTTCATTCATTTTAAGGAGTATTAAATAAGTTTAGGTTGCCTGATTCCCTAAGTCATATGCTAGTGGACGTTAAATTTATGGAGACATTGTTATTGTACCTAAAATATAGAGTCATTGTTAGGGGACCTAAAACTTAGTGAGATTGTTTGTCTAAAAATTATGAAAAGATTAATACAATATTTGGTTTTATCATTGGAGATTTCCTTAGGCTTTGTTAGTTATATACTTATATGAGTTTAAGGCGGTGTTTGGTAAAGTATAAGCCGAGGTTAAATTAGGTAGCTAATGAGAGGTAGGTATAAATTGTAAAAAGGTTGTTTGGATATTTGTGATATTTATCCGATTGTCTCCTCCCTTCTTAGTTGTCCATAGCCACAATCCTTGTCTTCTCCAAAAACTTGCGCACAAATGTTGTCGCCTTCATATTCGTGTGTTGCCTCTACACACGGAGAAGGTACCTCGAAGAATGGAAACGTAGGCACTGGTTGGGATTTTGGCGAGAGGAGTTCATCTCCAACGCTAATCAAAGGAAGAAGTGGACAAAAAAAAGGCAATTCAAAGAAATGAACGTGACCGTCAATTCCATTTCTCACTTACAATGTTCACCGACATCGCGAACATTTCTATTGCATACAAATGACTACACTACCTTGAACGTGACCTAGGATTTTTCTCTCCTTTTTCTTTTCTTCTCAATCAAGGTAAACAACTTACACTACCTTTGCCTACCTTCCCCTGCCTCCAAAAAACAAAAAGCCTAAGATTCTTAATCATATTCTGTATAGATTTTCCTTCATCTTTTTAGGCCTACAGTTTGAGGGGAAGCACATGTTATGATTGTTATCATGTGGTCAAAATTTAAATATGCACCATCGTTGTTCTAGTTCATTTCCTCCCGTGGATGGTAATGTAGAAAAAAGAATAGTACCATAAGCATTCGAACTCAAAAACGAGGTAAAAGTAAATTTGGAGTCTTTGTACGTGATATGTTCTATCATGGAGAACAAAACTGACAAAAACAGCCTGATACATTCTTTTCCTCACTTAAAAATTCATAAGAGCCAACCAATCCATAGTATTTATGGCAAAAAGCCAGAAAGGACATAACCACATCTGCCATAATGAGTTCAACAATCCATAGTATTTGTGGGCTACCATAGCATCAGGCAGCAACTACTTTCCAAGCGCGGCGGCCCCAATGCAGATGCAGTTTGCTCAAAGCCAGTTCTAATATTGTTTTCATGCCATTTCTAATATACAAAAAAACTTTTTGCTTATATTTTGCCTCAAGGACAAGGCAAATTTACAAGGGTGGATGGTTGAGGACAAGGCAATTTAACTATCACGTGGAGACATTTTTTCTCTTTTTTTCTTCGCTAACATTCACTATGTCCTGCGCTATGTACCTAAATTGAAGGAGGTATTGTTAGTGGATTTAAAATGTAGGGAGTCATTGTAACTTGTCTATAAATATTGAGTCTTATTACTACGTCTAGTACAATATTCTAACATACAAATAGTACTAAATTATAGGTTAAGGGCTCTTTGAGCTTGCTTAAAACACTGTATCCTCCACACATAAGTGCCAGAATCATTGGCATTCTAAGTTGTGAAAAAATATGCTTTCAAATTATGACATAAAGCACCTTAAAGTATGTCAAATGAGATGAAGCATTTCTGTGTTGTTCTGTATACAACCCTCTTGAATGAACTAGCCACAGAAATATCATCCTTTGTGTGTGTATTTATAATGAAAAATCTTTCTTCAACTATTGGACATTTCGCATTCAAGAATGCTCTTTCTCCCCCTATCACGGGAAATGGTCTATGATACTATATGTTGCCCACAAATACCGGCACACCATGTAACATCAGGAGACAATTCTAGTAAACTAGTACCCCTGTCTTAAAAATTTCTTCCCACTTTACTTCTTGAGATGCCCTACAATTTTCTTCTACATTTCATTTCAAGAAAAGATTATGTGGTTTTCAAATTGACATTCTTCCTATCATTTAAAAATAGACCACGACCTGACAATTTAACGTGACGGGCACACTCAACAAAACGATAGGGCAGAGGGACTATATGCATAAGAAACGTTTGTTAAGCAATGAAGCAACGAAAAATAAAGGCACCTGCCACGACTCTTCTCCTTTAAAGCTATAGAAAACACCTTTCTCCTTCACATCGGGCATGGTTGTCTGATTCTCCCCGTTACACTGAAAGTAAATTGTTGGTTCCAATCCAAGGAACTCATGGGTATCATATATTTCGATCGAGTCAAGTGTAACAATTGCAGCATTTATCAGTTCTGCATGCCAAAACTCATACAGGAATAGTATCCAACCAAACTAAAAAAACAAAAAAAGCAAAACTCCAAAAACAAATCTTTGTAAATTAAACAAGCCTCTGATGGAATTTGCAAGCAAGCAGTTAATAAATTGATAAGTATTAAATTTGAGAGAAAAAACATGATTAAGAGGAGAACGACAAAGAAAATGTCCAGTCCAAACAAAAATTACCTGGGAGCCAGCAGAGAAGAATAAAGGATAAGATAGAAACCCTTGATCTTGAACGCCGAAAGATTCTCATGTAGGCCTATTCTTAATCTATTCGACGTGTCTAGAACCGAGCCGAGTCTGCGACGCCGGAGAAGGTGGCGGAAAGAGGCGGGAACTCGGGAAGGATCGCCCTGATGGACGGAAGTTTCTCCGCAAAGTTCTCGCCTTCTCCGTTTGACCGGAGCGTTGGGAGATTGAGCCGTTTGACCGTTGAGAATTTTCTCAAAAAAAGATTTCTAAACTCTCCAAAAATAAATTACGGAGTGGGCAGTCTGGCCACATAAGGAAGAACTGCCTCACAAACTCAGGGCACCCGTTTCCGACCGCACAGGCGGCGAGCCAAGCATAGGCTTTTCGCCCTGCGCAGAGTCAGCGTTCCACAGCTGGCTCCCATCTGCAGTGTCAACAACAACAGAGGCCGCCGCAGCCGGCGGCGCAGCACCAGGGTCGCGCGCCGGCCAGGACATATGCTATGTAGGGTTGTGCAGATCCCAACCCAGATGTTATCCATGGTATGTTCTCACTCTATGGTTGTGATATGTTAGCTTTGATTGACTCTCGCTCTACCTTGTCATATATTTGTGTGCCTCTACATGCTACTTCTGATGCTGTGAGGAGTCGAAATGCTGGTGTCCAATCCATTGGGGCACAACATGAGTTTAGATTACTTCTACCGCCAATGCCCGTTGACTACACAGTGGGTAGTTGTTTTCCGAAGATCTAATCGAGCTTTCATACAAGGAATTTGAGATCATCCTTGGTATGGACTGGATCACTAAACACCAAGCCGTTGTTGACTGTGGGTCGAGGACCATTCGGTTGAAATCATCGGACGGTAATATGATCGTGTTGAACGGGGAATTGTTACCTAGTGTTGAGTGTTACTTCAAAGTCTCACATCGGTGGGATAGGAAAATTGAAGAGTGATTGGAGCCTATAAATAAAGAGAGGATATAGGCTTCCATCACACAACACAATCCTTCAATCTATATAATTGTGTATTAGATTTTAGGTTGTGAGTGTCAAATATTGAAGAGGGTTTGTAATTTTTCCGTGCAAAAATTACTAGTGAGATTTTATCCCAGAGGGGGTCGTGGAGTAGGTCTTGAGGTGCCGAACCACGTTAAAAATTGTGTGCTCCTTTTTTTTCCTTTTTTTTCGATTTGTTTGGAGTGGGGGCTTAACACCTAGAACCCCTGAGTTTATGGTGGTCTCCTAAGTGGTGAGATACAAAGTCTAGAGGGGGATGAATAGACTTTGTTACAAATATAAAATCTTTTTCGTTTTTTTTTAAAACGTTAAATGGTTCTTAATCTAAAGTTCTTGAGAACTTAGATTGTGTGCGGAAGTTGGTGGATTGTTGGAGCAGTAATCAATATGGATTGGTTAGTTTCACAGTTAATAATCACAAATAAATAGAGATAGAGAGAGACATGCAAACTTTAATGAGGTTCGAAGGTGGGGTAATCCTTCTACGTCCTCAAAATCCACTATGTAGTTGGTTGTTGAAATATGAACCAATAATTACACTTTGTGACTTTGCACGGTATATCTTCGCAAGGCCAATATTGCTACTGCACTCGTGCTGGCTCTGTTGTTCCTTCGAAGGTCAAGCTTCTTCAACAACTGCAAGGTCTGAACAATAGGACTTGCAAGATTAGCTTGTAGGAAAGCTAATGTATCCCGTTTTAATCAAGATGTTTGATTAAGGTTGTATCCTTCAACGTGGTGTGGTACTTGAGGCAAGGAAACCGTCAAGTGTTTACACTTATAGCTCTTTGGAAGAAGTAGTAGTTTGCTTCTGGATAAGGAGTTTTGGAATTCTCTCTTTATCAAGCTTTTTGGTTAACTGTGAATGCTGGTAGATTCGATGATCTGTGTGTTCGGTTATCTTCTTCAATCTTCCATAGGAGCTATATATAGGCTGGATGGATTAATCTATCCGTTAAAGGGAATAGATTAACCTTTGCATTTGCTGGCTTCAATTTGAACGAAGAGGGAGTGAGGATTGTCCTTGGAATAATCTTCTCTTGGACATAAACCTTTGTTTGAAGAGGGATTCCCTTTTTGTCACAGAATTCGTCCTCTAGCTGTTGTTCAAGGATTCTGGACTGTAGCTCTTTATTGAGTGGCGTTCTCATTTTGTGTTCTTGTGCTTGTTCAAGAATTCTGACCGAGCTCTTCAATTTTTGGGAGTCCACATTTTGTCTTCTTATCATTTGTTCTAGAATCAGCTAAGGTATCCTCAATCTAGCCGTTTGAAAATCAAGAGACTGATTTTTCTTTGCAATGGATAGAATTTCTTCATTCATGGATTAGATAAATTTCTAAGTTTTTTCTCACTTGTCTGTTCTGAGAGTTCCGGTCCACCTTTGAGAAATCCGGCTCTTGGCTTGACAATTCCGGATTAGTCATTTTGAGACTTCCGGGTGAGAAAGAGCGACCCGCGGTAGTCTTCTTATCCAAATGACGTAGTCTTCATGCGGATGGCTGTGAGACTTCTAGGTATCATTGAGCATTCCAAATTTGAGAATTCCAAAGTAATTAGACTTCTTTGAGAATTCTTTTATTATCTCTGATATTTCCAAGCGAGAGTTCTAATTTCCACATCTTTAATCTTGATAAGTCTTCAAAGTATGAATACTAAAAAACTCAAAAAGAAATATCACAAGATTTATTCGAAATCTCAAGAACTTGGTTTTAACAATATTTCTAAAAAGAAAATTACATTGAATAATGGGGGAGACTTAGAGTCTCTATTACAATCTAAATACATCATCATCAAATTCTATAATATTTTTCCCAACAGTTTATCTCTCTTATACAAGCAAAGCGGTTGATCCGTAAGAAGTGCGAGGCGTTTCTTTGCCACGTCAGGGATTTCCGAAAAGAACCCCTCGAGTTGAAGTATATACCCTCTGTATGAGACTTTCTTGATGTGTTTCCGGACGAGCTTCTTGGACTACTACCTCTTAGGGAGGGGGAGTTCTCCATTGATCTAGTTCCCAGTACCGAGCCAATCTCAAGGACCCCATACCGCATGGCCCAAGCTGAGATGAAGGAGCTGAAGGCTCAACTGCAAGAGTTGCTTGATAGGGGATTCATTCTCCCTAGTGTATCTCCATGGGGCGCACCGGTTCTTTCTGTACGGAAGAAAGACGGGTCTATGAGGCTCTGTATTGACTACCGACAAGTTAATAAGGCCACTGTCAAAAATCGTTATCCGTTGTTGATAGAGCTAGCAAAACAGAACCGGAACCGATTACCCGAACCGAAATATCCGAAACCGAAACCGAAATGACCCAAAAAATGAAGATCCGATCTATAACCGAAAACCCGAAATGATCTGAATCGAACCGAAACCGAACTAAATAATTCATATCCGATTTAAATCCGAAACCGATAATATCCGAACCGATTAAACCCGAAACCGATTAGATCCGAAACCGATTATATTTGAAACCGATTAGAACCTACATAGATCATTTTGGAAGTATGTTTTCCTTTCAATAAGCATATTATGCTTTTAAAATTTTATTTTTATTTTACCATTTGAACTAATTATATTACTTGCTCATTCCCTCATAAAATGGATTACATGTTTTAGAAATTTTACAAAAAATAGAGCAAATGAGCAATAAAATAGAGATGACATAAAACACATGAAAATTACTTTTTCCAAATCTAAGCATACATGCGATAAAATAAAGCAAACCAGTAATAAAATAGAGATGAGAATCTTGCTAAACACCAAAAAGTAGTCATCTAGTTATAATTAAAAAATATAGTATTCAGTAGTCATGATCCAAAAGTGGAAATATAATGCAAACGTCCATAGATGGTAGAATTGCTGGTAGCCTTTGATAAATGGTCACTGGGAACATCTATAGTAGCTGCTGGAAAAAGATCATTGGTAACACAATCCTAATACGATTTAAATTTATCTTTTATCTTTTTATTTATAAAGATAAAACTAATGATATTAATAAATTTGCACTAAATAATACTAAAACATAATTACTTTCTTAATCTAGGACTTAAACTTTTTTATTCCTTAGAGAGAACTTAATAATGTCTTAGTGGGAGGAATAATGCTCAGTAATAAATTAATAATGGACATTTACTTGAATAATGACTAATTAATAATGACCAAAAGTCCTACATTGGGAAATAAAAACATATGGTCCTATATTGGGAAAGTCATTGTGTTTTAGCTCTATTTAGGTAAATTACTCATAATATTATTTGATGTGATAAAATTTTAATATATCAAAACTAAATTTTAAAATTAATATTATGATATTAAATTTATATCATCAGAAAATATATATTTTCATAATTTGTAGTCCACTCGATCGAATATATCCGAAACCGAAATATATCCGAACCGGACTAGACCCGAAACCGAAATATATCTGACTCAAATTGTATCCGAATCAAAATCTATCTGAACCGATTCATAGCTGAACCGTATCTGAACCGACACGAAACCGAACCGAAAAATGTATAGAACCGAAATCAAATCCGAACCGAAATTTAACCGATCCGAACTGAACCGAACCGATTATAACATATAACCGAAAGATATCCGAACCGAAAAAGTTCAATCCGGAACCGATCCGGTTGATCCGATTGCCACCTCTACGCATTGATGACCTGTTTGACCAACTGTGGGGCGAGGGTGTTCTCTAAGATTAACTTGAGGTCGGGATATCATCAGATACCAGTCAAGAAGGAGGACATACCTAAAACTGCTTTCAGAACCCGTTATGGACATTATGAGTTCACTGTGATTCCCTTCGGGTTGGCCAATGCCCCTGCTATCTTTATGGATCTGATGAATAGTGTTTTTCGGCCATACTTGGATCAATTCGTGGTAGTCTTCATTGATGACATTCTCGTTTGTTCTAAAAAAGCTGAGGAGCATGCACTTCATCTTCAGAAGGTGCTAACAATTCTAAGGGAGCAGAAGCTCTATGCTAAATTATCCAAGTGTGAGTTTTGGCTCGAGGAGGTGATGTTATTAGGTCATGTGATCTCCGCGGAGGGAGTGAAGGTTGACCCGAGTAAGATTTCTGCTGTCCTTGACTGGAAGGTTCCCCGTAATGCTATGGAGGTGAGGAGTTTTCTCGAACTGGCGGGGTATTACCACCGGTTTGTAAAAGACTTCTCCGTGATCGCCTCCCCACTAATTAGACTATTGCAAAAGGATGTGCAGTTTGTGTGGTCTGATGCATGTCAGAACAACTTTGACCGTCTGAAGGAGAGTCTAACTAAGGCTCTAGTGCTGACTCAACCAGAACTGGGTCGCAAGTATACGATTTACAATGATGCGTCCCTGTGTGGTTTGGGCTATGTACTTATGCAGGATGGCTAGGTGGTTGCTTATGCCTCAAGACAACTAAAACCCCACGAGGGTAACTATCTGACACACGACTTGGAGCTAGCAGCCGTCGTTTTTGCCCTGAAGATTTGGAGACACTACGTATTTGGAGAAAGGATTTCCATCTTCATTGACCATAAGAGCTTGAGATATTTGCTGATGCACAAGGATTTGAACTTAGAACAGAGACACTGGCTGGAGTTGCTAAAGGATTATGACTTCGCTATTGAGTACCATCCAGGCAAGACTAATGTGGTTGCTGAGAGCCACAGGTTAATTGCTGAATTACACGTGCGGCCGACCTTAGATGGGGAGATACGCAACACATAATTGGAGGATGGTTTTGCGCAAGACCCGTGACCTTGTCTCTAAGGGGGAGCAGATGGAATCTTGTTCTATCGGAATCGTTTGGTGGTACTAAGCGGGGCTGTGAGGGAGCGCTTGTTGCGTGAGGCTCATGAGTCCGTTTACGCCATGCATCCGGGTAGCAACAAGATGTATCATGATTTGAAAGGAAATTATTGGTGTTCTGTCATGAAGAAAAAGATTTCTGAGTTTACCACACGTTGTTTGACTTATTAGCAAGTCAAAGCCGAACACCAGGTGCCATCCGAACTGTTACATCCCCACGCCATCCCGAGTGGAAGTGGGAGCGGATCACCATGGATTTTGTGATTAGACTACCTTTATTTTCTCGTAAGAACGATGTCGTTTGGGTCATTGTGGACCGTCTCACAAAATCTACGCATTTCCTACCCATCAGACGAGATATGTCACTTCAAAAGTTAGTTGAGCTTTACATACGTGAGATTGTCAGACTTCATGGCGTACCTGCCTCCATTATCTTCTATCGGGATTCTTGTTTCACTTTGAAGTTCGGGAAGGGGTTTTACAAGCCTTGGGTAGCAAGCTTAATATGAGTACAGCTTTCCACCCTCAGAGCGATGGTCGGTCGGAGTGCGTGATTCAGATACTTGAGGACATGATGAAAGCGTGCGTGATTGACTTTGGAGAAAACTGGAATGATACTTGCCCTTGATGGAGTTTGCTTACAATAATAGTTACGAGGCTAGTATTCAGATGGCTCCGTATGAAGCATTGTACAGAAAGAGGTGTAGGACTCCTGTCTTTTGGACGAACCTGAGCAAGGCAAGGTTGGAAGGTCCCGAGCTAGTATGGGAAACCGAAGAGAAGGTCAAGGTTATACGAGACCGGTTGCACGTGGCCTCGGATCGACAAAAGTCGTATGCAGACTTGAAGCGTCGGGAAATTTCCTTCGAGGTAGGGGATAAAGTTTTCCTCAAGGTTTCACCTTCGAGGAAGATTCTTCGTTTTGGAAAGAGGGGGAAACTGAGTCCCCGTTTCATCGGACCCTATCCTGTCACGGCAAGTGTGGGCCCTGTTGCTTATCAGCTGGAACTACCCCCTGAGTTAGGCAGAATCCATAATGTGTTCCATGTCTCCATGCTTTGTCGTTACCGGTCTGACCCCACGTATCGACTACATGAAGGAGCCATCACTCTTGAGGACAGTTTAACTTATGAGGAGGAACCCGTGCAGATTCTAGCACGGGAAGTGAAGGAGTTGAGGAACAAGACGGTGCCTTTGGTCAAAGTCTTGTGGCGTAATCATGCTATTGAGAAGGCTATGTGAGAGACTGAGGAGTCTATGAGAGTTCAGTATCCTCACCTTTTCAGCGATAATGATTCAAGTAATTTCGAGGACAAAATTCTTTTAGGGGGGAGAAATGTAATGCCACGAAATCCGGCTTAGTATTTTCAATTAATTTATATAATTAATTAATTACTGAGTCGATCAATACGAAGGTTATTTTTTCTAATTTGTATATTTATTATGAGAGTTGACCTACGTTGTAGGGTTCGCTGTTCGGAACCCGACCGCGCGAACAGATTGAGAATCGGACTTACTGGGCCCAAGATACGACGGAAGAATAAGGTAATTGCACTTAAATTTATCCTAACTGGTAAGCAAGTGTAAACTGGACCCTAAAATCTGTATTTAATTATAAATTAAATAACTTGGGGGTTATAAGAGTACGGGGGTGTTTGTTTTTCTGCCAGAAGACCTTCTGACATCTTTTGTCTGCGCCGCGCAGACGCGCACAGATGATGGGCTCTGCCGATTGTTTGTTTTTTGGAAGACATTTCACTCAAAAAGGTCTTCCTGACATCTTCTTGGAGAAGACATTAACCAATGTCTTCTAACATCTTCTAACATCTTCTCCTTTTTTTTCTACTTCTCTTCACCACCACAACCGATCACCATCGTCATCCACCACCACCGCCACCATCCACCACCACCACCGTCCACCACCACCGCCGTCAACGTCCACCACCACCACAATCATCCATACACCACCACCGTACACTACCACCATTAATTTATATAGCAGTCTACAGACATTAAAAAAACAAACAGTCTTCTTCTTGCAGACCGCAAACCTTCGGTCCATGTCTACAGTAGTGGTCGGAGACAGCAAAAAAACAAACTCCCCCTACTTGAATCTCTCTCTCTTTCGTCGGTTCCTTCGTATGTTCCCCTACCCAGCCCTTCCTTCGACGCCGACACCACAGCGGCACCGGCGGCCTCCTACCCAGGGAAAGCAGCGCTGCCACCGTCTCTCTCTCTTTTGTCGATTCGCCCTTCGCCGGTTTCCTCTGCTCTGCGTCGTTCGTCCCTGTCGTTCCATCAAGCGAGGAGATAGCAGCAGCGCCGGCGACGCCACCCCTCTCTCCCTCTTCTCAGACGGCGCACGTGGATTTCGACAGGCCGAGTGGCGGTGACGGGAATAGCAACAACGATTCCCCTTTTCCTTCCAACCCGAGTTTGATTCTTCAATTTCAAGGTGACTCGTTGCCTAAATATCTTCATAGCATTAATTCGAGTTTTAGGATCTTGTTGTATAATTCTTGCGTTTGATTGTGGAATTCTTTGGTTGATTGTGTGTTGAATTGGTTGGGGATTTGAATTGGGGGGCTGTGGGGCTGTTTCGAGCGTCTCGCTGGCAGTTGGCCGACGGTGGTTGCGGCTGGAATAGTGTACAGATTCGGTAGGTCCAATTTGGACACAATTGGACAGTTGGTCCAATTTGGACCCAATTAGTCCAATTCGGGTCCAATTCGGGTCCAATTGGGTTAATCCATGTGCAATTGGACTCAAATGGGTTCAATTGGGTCTGTCCGGGTTCCAATTGGATTGGTTCTTGTGTAAACGGGTTTGTTTGGGTCCGATTGGGGTGTTTGGGTTGACTGGGCTGTTCGAGTCGGCTGTTTTGGCTACCCGGATCGGTTGTTTGGGCTGTTTGGCTGGTTTGGGCCGGCCGTCCGAGGCGGCAGTAGGTCTGCAGGGCGGTGGCCAGCCGCCAGGAGGGTTTGGTTGTTTGATTTCTAGGCTGCCGGGTCGGTCCGGCGGGTAGTCAGGCTAATATGGTGGTAATTGATACTGTTCTGGCGGGTGTAGCAGGCCAGATGATGAAGTCCTTAGTCTCGAGTTCGCGATAGAGGTAAGTTATTTAAATATTGTTGGGTTTAACCTGTTTGTTTGAGCATGACGGTAATCGGTAGATGTGATTCTTCCAAAAGGCTGCTGAGTGTGTTGTTCTGTTCATGGAAATGTTGAAGTGTTATTGTCGCTTGTGAACTCTGATATAAATTGGCCACCTAGTATACCTAAGCGGATCTGAACTGAATTGGATAGTTTAAACACCAATAAGATTGTTGTTAGGTTCAGGCCTTGTCGAGCATGTTTGCATATCTAGTGGTCCAGTTTCCAAAACGTACATACGAGAGTCACTGATCTACCTAAGGGATTCCTTGGTATGAACTCCAACCCGCCCATTGAGGATTCTCTTTGGGTTTGTCCGAGCATCGGCCTCGAGGGATCCTCTTGAGCGTCCGTAACTCTAGTCTGTTGAATTAAGCCTTAGTGGTGTAGGGTCAGAATTAGCCCGTTGAGAATAAATGAATTGGAATTGTTAAATCTTTGTATCTAGAAAGTAAATGTTGATTGCTCACTGATGTTGCTGATTATATAAATGTGATACTATCTGTGAAATTAATTATAGTGTTAGATATTTTTCTCACTCAACTTTCAGCTGAGCGTGTGTCTTGTTGTCTTTGACTACACGCAGGTAGGGATATGGATCATGAGGGCCAGCCTGGAGGACGTTGATACGTGACGCAATAGATGACATCACCATTTTTATTATGGACATTTAATTACTGCGTTTATTAATTCTTTGATTTAAACATTGATTGTAGAATGTTATTTTGGGACTTCTGCACATGATGGACTTTACTCCAAACTTTTCGTAATTAATTGGGTGTCTGGATATTTTTTTGAATAATTTGTCTAAATTGTTGTGCCGTGAATATCAACTTAGTAGCAACCCGATTCGTTAACTCCTTGGTTTGAGTTACGCGAGTTGAGGTGTTACAGGATCGTTGTTGATCCGTCGCCACCACGTGTTTGCCAAAAGTTCTTCGCCCAATTGTTTGGTTTATTTGTAATTAATTGCGATGAGTATGTGGACATCTAACAGTAAATTACTCGTACAGGTTTGAAATTTACGTTCGTAGTTTTGTATGATTGATTGTGTTGTTTATTTTGTTCTATTGTTAATTATGATTTATTAAAATTATATGATGTTATTGGAATTGATTAATCGAGGAAGGTCGGGTACATTTACTTACTTTAAATTGCATGGTTTGCGTGTTAATAATCTCTACAAACACTATAGATACTGAATGGATCGAAAATTGAATCATACTCTGTTTATGCAACTTTTTGCGACACCAGACAATAGCACAGTACCATCCATACGGTAGCCGGCGATGTTAGATGATATGATCCATACAACCGACGATGTTAAATGGTATCTATGTACCCCTTAACGGTACCCAGCTACTGCCACAAGCCTTTTGGTTCTGCCGGTAACTGCGTTCGGACTGTTTGGGGTAAAAGACCGTCAGTACTTGGGTACCTAATCAATGGTACCAAAGTACTGTAACAGGTATTGTGTCAACCCCATTTGCCAACTTCTTTGTTTATTTGTCTTGATTCGAATTTCAGATCTATTCCATGATCTTATGTGCTGCATGACGGTAAGTTAAGTGTGTTTACATCCGACACTAGGCCGCTAGTTGTTAAGTATGTATGCTTATGAACTCTACTATGACCTTGTATGAATTTGGAAATGTTAAAGTATGAACTTGAATACGGATAGACTACATATCTGAACTATAGGTAGACCGAGTAAGAGAATAAGAATACAGTTAGGAATAACTAGTCGTGTGATGAGCCTGCATGCACGCATGATCAGTTGGGTAAAACATGTGGATGGGGGTCCTAGATCTATTAATAGATGTGAGTAGGTGGTCTCACCCAGCTGACATTGGATGACGTCATATCGAGCGAGTTCTTCCATGGATATGGTTGAATCAGGACTCTAGAAAGAGTAAAGAATTTGTACTTGTGTGCATGATATTGAATGAAATTTTGAGCTAGTGGATTCATCTATATGCATAGTCGAACATTAGATATTTCCCACTTAGAAGCAATGAAGAATGTGTGGAGTTTGTTCTCTTGCTACACATAGGAAACAAGAATGACGATTAAGAAAAAAATCCTGGAGGACAGCGAGGGTGAAGAGATGGATAGATGCTAGGTGAAGAGTTATTTAATTTAATATTATGTTTTGGATTTATTATGTTTTCGTGCAAGAACCCAAAGTTAATTTTTGGATTAAGTACTTAAGGCTTCCGCACCGCTTTTGTTAACTCCGATGGACATATAAATATTGTTTTTGAATTAGATGTTTTAAAGTGTTTTGAAAATATGATGTGTTTGGATGCTAATCTGGTGACAACCCGATCCGCTGGTTCGTTTATTCGAGCTACGTGGGTTAAGGTGTTACATTTTGGTATCGGAGCAAAATGAGGCCAGAGACATATCTTTTTAATCTGTGTGGTATGGGACATACAACTATGTAAGATACATGTAGCTGGTGGAGGTATATATCTTTCTAACCTGTGTGGTATGGGACATGCAGGCTACAACTTAGAAAGATACATGCAACCAACTCATCTTTGTGAACCCTCACATGTAAACGGTGGCAAAGCGTGACTCCCCTCCCAAGCGCTCAAGCAATTGAGTGTTTTGATAGGACCAAAATGTAGCCACGTAGATGTGCTATAGTTAAAATTTTCGAATAGTGATATCGGCGATATCAAATGTTGATATCGGTAAATTAATACCGATTTCAAGAAACAGCTTTTTAGGGAATTTGCATATATCCAAATTTCAGTTCTAAATTCTTTTTTACCTTCATTGAGCATATACTTTGAGAACTTCATATCTTGGATATCAAAATCTATATCTTTTGTTCTCACCAAACAAGCCCTAAAGTAATTAAAACTACATTTTAAAATTTAAATATGATTTTTTAAGAATATTTAACATTTTATAGTATTAAAGCTCGTATAAAGCACGAGGTTAAAAATAGCCAGTGTGGTATAGATAACACAAGTAGTTCATTTTTCCTGAGGTTGATATGCACTACAAATTGGAGTAATAGGACAACTCATTAGATTATTGAGCATGAGATTGAATAAACATGTGGTTAAAATTTATGCTTGTTGGACTAGATATAAATTGGAGTCAAATAAATAAGAAATAAATAAGAAATGTAAGGCTATGTTTGGTTGAAGGTAGGTAAAAGTTTTATTAGGTAGGTAATGGTAGGTAATTGAAGGTAGGTAATTGAAGGTAATGAATTAAAAAATTGTGTTTAGATGTTTATTAGGTAACGTGAGATAGAGAAAAAATAAAATTACTAAAATATCCTTATGGTTGTTTTTCTTTATTTTTTTAGGATATCAAAGGCAAAACTTCTTAAAAAATCCATTTGAGTATTTTGGCTTCAAAAGTGGTTCACGAAGCATAAAAAATACAAATTGAAAATTAAAAAAAGTCATCTATTGCAATATTGTCTTCCATATCACAATGTGAAAAAGGATAAACTCCTTCTTGCATAGTTAACTAGATAAATCAATCTACAGCAATTAATTAACCCTAGAGCTAAATATACAGAAACAAAAAAAGTGAAAAAAAGAAAAACTAAAAACTGAAAAAAAAAGAAAAAAAAAATGAAATCTGAAAAAAAGGAAACAAAAAAAACAGAGGAAATTAAAAACTGGAAATTGAAAATTGAAAAAAGTGTAAAATTGAAGTAGAGCAGATCGAAAAAAGTGAAAAAAATCTGGAAATTGAAAAAAAAAGTAAAAATTGAAGAGCAAAAAAAAAAAAAAAATAAGCAAAGGAGCAGCAGGTGGCGATAGAAATTGAAGTCCATCGCAGGTTTATGGCGGAATTGAGGAACAGAGCGTAAAAAAAAGTGAAAACTGAACGGGAATACCTGTGCGATCGGAACCGGAAGAAGAAGACGATGTGATTATGTGAAGATGGCGATTGGGTGAAGGGCAGCGGCAGATTTTATTACCTCGATATTTCGCGGATTTGGTGGTCAAACAAAATGCACTGTTGAGACCTCTCTTCACCTTCTCCTACCTTCCCTTACCTATCTTAATTTTTATTACCAAACAAGGTAAAATATTAACTCTACCTCCTTCTACCTCTCCCTACCTCTAAACAAACACAGTGTAAAGCAAGCCGTACAAATGAACAATCATCCCTTATTACACGCTCCTCCTATGTTATATATGCAACAAGGTGTCATAATCTACATTGCTTTGTGCCTCAACCTCATTTCCCAATTAAGTTATAATGACAAAGGGCATTACCCTTTATATCATATTAATCTTCTCTGTCTCAGTATTAGATTTAATCTTCTTCGTCGTCAATGCCACCTTTGTCCATAGGATTCCAAGAACTCAACTTAAGCAGAGGCATGTAAAATCACCACCGAGCCAATATTTTGAGAAATCTTTTGTTCTTACATATGATAGAGTCCAACAAGAATTTGTAATAGCTCATAATGTTTTTCGGGCAACCGTGGGTTCCCCTCCTTTGCAATGGGATGGCACACTAGCCAATTTCTCTCGTGGATGGGCCCTCGAGCGCAAAAACGATTGCAACTATAGGGTCCATTCAGATAACAAAACCTATGGAGAGAATATTTTCTGGCAACAATATAAAGAGTCCACCCCGATGCAAGTGGTCCGATCGTGGTTCAATGAGAACCAGTTTTACGACCACAAGCGACATACATGTAAATGCAAGCCCGAAAGGGACACGTGCGAATGCGGTCATTACACAAACTTAATATGGAAAACAACCAAGAAAGTTGGTTGTAGTGGCTTTGTTTATTGCAATGACCAAAGAGGCGTTTATGTTGTTTGCTCTTATTATCCTAAGGGGAACTTAGTTGGCAAGAACCCTTTCAATCCTGTGTAATCAAGATTCAAGATGCATATTATACACCTATGTCTATGTGCATGTCGAGGGAGGTGAGATAGATTTTCATGGGCATTATTACAATAATGGTATAGGTACTTTTCATAAATAAAACTAAATACTAACAGGTTTTAGTGCTTGCATTAAAAAACATTACAGAAAACTCATTTTTTTAATTGTTTTGGTTTTAAACATCTCATTTTTTATTATGGAACATAATCCAATATCCTTCCTCCATCCTAAAATAATCGTAGATCATTTCGAATAACATGTAAAATCTTATCTTTTTTAAATTATTTTATTTACAAAGTGATATAGAAATTAAAAAAATACAAAATACCTTTTTAAAAACTATTTTACACGCTCTATAAAACAAGATGAGACAAAAATATTTTATTTTATAGAATAATAATTAAATATACATGAATAAACAAAAGTTATTGGAAAGTCAAAATAGCAACTGAAACGAGTATTTTCAGAAATAGAGAATACATTGTATTAGAATCTTTTTCTATTATTTGAATTAAAATCATTACATAGGCTTTGTAATGAAATAGATGACGGTGATGCAATTTTTTTCAAGGAAAACTACAAAAACAAAAACTATATCAACGAAAAATTTCATTACAAAGACTGATTTTAGCACAATAGAAAAAGATTCTCATACAATGTACTCCCTCTCATACAATATTATGACATGCAAAGATAGTAACCGATGTTATAACAACAAGCTATTCCCTATGAAAAGCACTTTAGTGCATGTTTGATTTCACGAAATTCAAAAAAATGTGCTGAAAAGTAAAAAAGTTAATTGATAGAGACTTTGTAAATCCCATGGTCTTTTCTTTTTAAAGAAAAAATAAAATTGTGAAGTTTTTCCTATGATATATCTAAAAAGGGAAGTGTCAAGTGCTTTTTG